TAGTGCAATAAAAAAAACAACAACACAGAGTTACATATGGGGTAAAAAACATAAAGTCAGAAATACAACAGAAAATATATATACAGTGTGTGCAAATGTAGCAAGTTATGGAGGTAAGGCAGTAAATAGGCTATAGTGCAGAATAATTACAATAGTATTAACACTGGAATGCTAGATGTGCAAGAGATTATGTGCAAATAGAGATACTGGGGTGCAAAAGAGCAAAATAAATAACAATATAGGGATGAGGTAGTTGGGTGGGCTAATTTCAGATGGGCTGTGTACAGGTGCAGTGATCGGTAAGGTGCTCTGACAACTGATGCTTAAAGTTATTGAGGGAGATAAGAGTCTCCAGCTTCAGAGATTTTTGCAATTCGTTCCAGTCAGGAGGGCTTCTTAAAGAAAAACTAACATGTCTGTGAGAGCTGGAATTCTTACTGGTTGGTAGGTGATCAAATACTTATGTCATGCAATAAAATGCAAATTAATTACTTAAAAATCATACAATGTGATTTCCTGGATTTTTGTTTTAGATTCCGTCTCTCACAGTTGAAGTGTACCTATGATAAAAATTACAGACGTAAATGCTTTGTAAGTAGGAACACCTGCAAAATCGGCAGTGTATCAAATACTTGTTCTCCCCACTGTAGTAATAAAAAAAGTGTTAAACAAATAGCCACCTTTTGCCTTGATGACAGTTTTGTACTCTTGGCATTCTCTCAACCAGCTTCAGCTGGAATGCTTTTCCAACAGTCTTGAAGGAGTTCCCACATATGATAGTATAGATACAGTATAGATATACAGTGGGGGAAAAAAAAGTATAGGGAATATGGAATACACAATGAGAATATGGGAATGAGGATATGGAGTAAATTAAGTCGCTGTGACCTCAAGAGGACAGGGAGGGAAAGGGAAGATTGGACAGATCTTAGCATGGAAGCTACCAGGATAACTTATAAGGTATATTTAAGCAATAAGGCCTGAGGGTATATGGCCAATATAGAAGGGCTGTTCTTACGCACAACGCAACACGGAGTGCCTGGATTCAGCCCTTAGCCGTGGTATATTGGCCATATACAGTGGGGGGAAAAAGTATTTAGTCAGCCACCAATTGTGCAAGTTCTCCCACTTAAAAAGATGAGAGAGGCCTGTAATTTTCATCATAGATACATGTCAACTATGACAGACAAATTGAGAAAAAAAAATCCAGAAAATCACATTGTAGGATTTTTAATGAATTTATTTGCAAGTTATGGTGGAAAATAAGTATTTGGTCACCTACAAACAAGCAAGATTTATGGCTCTCACAGACCTGTAACTTCTTCTTTAAGAGGCTCCTCTGTCCTCCACACGTTACCTGTATTAATGGCACCTGTTTGAACTTGTTATCAGTATAAAAGACACCTGTCCACAACCTCAAACAGTCACACTCCAAACTCCACTATGGCCAAGACCAAAGAGCTGTCAAAGGACACCAGAAACAAAATTGTAGACCTGCACCAGGCTGGGAATCTGCAATAGGTAAGCAGCTTGGTTTGAAGAAATCAACTGTGGGAGCAATTATTAGGAAATGGAAGACATACAAGACCACTGATAATCTCCCTCGATCTGGGGCTCCACGCAAGATCTCACCCCGTGGGGTCAAAATGATCACAAGAACGGTGAGCAAAAATCCCAGAACCACACGGGGGGACCTAGTGAATGACCTGCAGAGAGCTGGGACCAAAGTAACAAAGCCTACCATCAGTAACACACTACGCCGCCAGGGACTCAAATCCTGCAGTGGCAGACGTGTCCCCCTGCTTAAGCCAGTACGTGTCCAGGCCCGTCTGAAGTTTGCTAGAGTGCATTTGGATGATCAAGAAGAGGATTGGGAGAATGTCATATGGTCAGATGAAACCAAAATAGAACTTTTTGGTAAAAACTCAACTTGTCGTGTTTGGAGGACAAAGTTGCATCCAAAGAACACCATACCTACTGTGAAGCATGGGGGTGGAAACATCATGCTTTGGGGCTGTTTTTCTGCAAAGGGACCAGGACGACTGATCCGTGTAAAGGAAAGAATGAATGGGGCCATGTATCGTGAGATTTTGAGTGAAAACCTCCTTCCATCAGCAAGGGCATTGAAGATGAAACGTGGCTGGGTCTTTCAGCATGACAATGATCCCAAACACACCGCCCGGAAAACGAAGGAGTGGCTTTGTAAGAAGCATTTCAAGGTCCTGGAGTCCAGATCTCAACCCCATAGAAAATCTTTGGAGGGAGTTGAAAGTCCGTGTTGCCCAGCGACAGCCCCAAAACATCACTGCTCTAGAGGAGATCTGCATGGAGGAATGGGCCAAAATACCAGCAACAGTGTGTGAAAACCTTGTGAAGACTTACAGAAAACGTTTGACCTGTGTCATTGCCAACAAAGGGTATATAACAAAGTATTGAGAAACTTTTGTTATTGACCAAATACTTATTTTCCACCATAATTTGCAAATAAATGCATTAAAAATCCTACAATGTGATTTTCTGGATTTTTTTTCCTCATTTTGTCTGTCATAGTTGACGTGTACCTATGATGAAAATTACAGGCCTCTCTCATCTTTTTAAGTGGGAGAACTTGCACAATTGGTGGCTGACTAAATACTTTTTTTCCCCACTGTATGCTGAGTACTTGTTGGCTGCTTTTCCTCCAATATGCGGTCCAACTCATCCCAAACCATCTCAATTGGGTTGAGGTCGGGGGATTGTGGAGGCCAGGTCATCTGATGCAGCACTCCATCACTCTCCTTCTTGGTAAAATAGCCCTTACACAGCCTGGAGGTGTGTTGGTTCATTGTCCTGTTGAAAAACAAATGATCGTCCCACTGAGCCCAAACCAGATGGGATGGTGTATCGCTGCAGAATGCTGTGGTAGCCATGCTGGTTAAGTGTGCCTTGAATTCTAAATAAATCAGAGACAGTGTCAACAGCAAAGCACCCCCACACCATAACACCACCTCCTCCATGCTTTATAGTGGGAAATACACATGCTGAGATCATCCGTTCACCTACACCGCGTCTCACAAAGACACGGTGGTTGGAACCAAAAATCTCAAATTTGGACTCCAGACCAAAGGACAAATATCCACCAGTCTAATGTCCATTGCTCGTGTTTCTTGGCCCAATCAAGTCTCTTCTTCTTATTGGTGTCCTTTAGTAGTGGTTTCTTTGCAGCAATTCGACTATGAAGGCCTGATTCACACAGTCTCCTCTGAACAGTTGATGTTGAGATGTGTCTGTTACTTGAACTCTGTGAAGCATTTATTTGGGCTGCAATTTCTGAGGCTGGTAACTCTAATGAACTTATCCTCTGCAGCAGAGGTAACTCTGGGTATTCCATTCCTGTGGCGGTCCTCATGAGAGCCAGATTCATCAAAGCGCTTGATGGTTTTTGCGACTGCACTTGAAGAAACTTTCAAAGTTCTTGACAATTTCCGTATTGACTGACCTTCATGTCTTAAAGTAATGATGGACTGTCATTTCTCTTTGCTTATTTGAGCTGTTCTTGCCATAATATGGACTTGGTATTTTACCAAATAGGGCTATCTTCTGTATACCCCCCTACATTGTCACAACACAACTGATTGGCTCAAATGCATTAAGAAGGAATGAAATTCCACAAATTAACTTTTAAGAAGGCACACCTGTTAATTGAAATGCATTCCATGTGACTACCTCCATGAAGCTGGTTGAGAGAATGCCAAAAGTGTGCAAAGCTGTCATCAAGGCAAAGGTGGCTATTTGAAGAATCGCAAATATAAAATATATTTTTGATTTGTTGAAAACTTTTTTGGTTACTACATGATTCCATATGTGTTATTTCATAGTTTTGATGTCTTCACTATTATTTTACAATGTAGAAAACAGTAAAAATAAAGAAACCCTGGAATGAGTAGGTGTGTCCAAACGTTTGACTGGTACGGTATATAAATAAATAAATATTTTTAAAGAGTGTAATCAACCACAAGAAGTAGCTAGCTAACCCCAACCATAAGTCCTGCTGCATTTTGTTTTTTTATTAAAAAGCATTACCCATCTAATTGACAGTGCTCGCATTCCCAAGTGGTCTTTAAGCCAAAATGGTTTCTTATTTTTAAAGGGATTTCTTTTTTTTTTTAACCTTAATTGTTTTGCTTGTTTCTTGTAATTTTCATTTTCTTGTTATTTTTTGTTGTTGGTGGATTTTGTTGTGGTCGGTCTGAGCAGAATCACTGCTCTACAAAGCACCCCAAAATAAAGACTCATTCTGTGATCAAGATGAGGGGATTTTGAGCCTCGCATTGCTCAAATGGATCTGCTCAAACATGTTGGTAGCTAAGCCCAGAGCCATGAGGCCTGCTGCAGAGGAAGACTGGGACATACCAGTTGGTTCTGGACTGGTACCTTTAAAAAAAAATCAGCTGGTCTCCAATCACAAGAAGAAGCTAGCTAGCCCCTCAGCCCCCAAAATACTGTGTGGAAGACTGGGACATGATTCTGGCAAATACTTTTGCTGGACTGGACTGGTGCCTTTTTCCAAAATGGTGAAAGACAGTCGGAGCACACCGTCATTAGTCGTATTAATTAGGCCTTCCTCTTCTGATTAGTATTTTTTATTCATCTTAGATTTTCTATATTGAAGTAAATCAAATGTTGATCTCTGCCTGTGTTTTTATTATGAATGTCGAGAGCGGTGACAATATTAAATCATTGTTTTGGTACGATTTGAAATGAGAAATAGACATTTATTACAAAAATAAATCTGTCGGTTTTCATTGTAAACCTCAACATGTTCTGGCTCACGTAGACCGCATCGCCAACCTCCTCTCTTTCTCTACTAAAGCAGTACCAGCCAGATTACAGCGATCACCATCAGAACAACAGCCAGCACACAGATGCTAATAAACACTATATCACTGGGGTCGTGAGGCTCTGGGTCTGCCTCCTTCCCTCCCCCTCCCCCGGACCCCTCTGCTTGGCGTCGGGCCAGCTCGTTCATCCTCTGGTGCTCCTCGGCTGAGACGATGTGAATGGTGGCCATCTTGCGCTGGGCGTCGCACTGTACCTCGTACTCCTGGACGCTCCGCCCCTTCCCGTCGGAGAAGTCGATGTAGAGCGTGTTCACCAGCATGGTGATGTTACGCCGTGGCTGGTCAGATGACAGGGGTCAGAGGTTAAGGGTCAGGGTCAGGGTTATACAGATGGACAGCAAACAGACATCATATGCTTGTGACCACTGCTATTTTGTCACATCCTCTAGTATCCTCAATTCCCTTCTACACTGTCCTATCGCTTCAATAAAATGGACAAATGAAGAAGAAAAAACAACCACAAAAATTCATGTCAAATGAACAGTTGTAAACAGCTTTAAACTGGCGTCATCATGCCAGTGGCTACCCACTAGGCACAGACGTCAATTCAACGTCTATTCCACGTTGGCTCAATGTAATTTTAAATCAAATGGAAACAATGTTGAATCAACCAGTGGGTAGTTGGTTACCTGGCCTGCAGTGCCACATTTTTCGAAGCGTGCCAGTATCTTATATGTGGTAGGTGTCAGCTGGGAGGTACAGGAGCGATCCCCCAGAAAGATACTCTCACGGTTCAGCCCAGGCAGTGACTGCTGGGAGATATGGATGGTGAACTCTGTCCTCGTACAGCTGATGTTAACTGGTACCACTGGGAATGAGGTGGAGACATAACACACGCACGGACACACACGTTTGTATTTGCACTTGTCTCTTGAATGATTAAATAAATTTTTTTTTTTTAAAAAACGTGATAGTTTGGATACGTTTCAGCAACCTTGCTTCAGTTCAGACACTCACCTCCTACATAGGAAGCAGAGAACCCTCTATAAGCTGAGTTCCTGTCTGTACTGAGGACCACCAGCATGTTGTTGTTCTTAGAGATCAGAGACCCGGGTTGTTCCGAGCCACACCATCGCCCTAGCAATGGGTCTTTCTCTCTGCTCCCATCATGCACAGCTACAGAGTCGTAGTCGCACTCGTCTGATAGGCTGTTCCTGTCCTCCAGCTCCATAGCGTTGAAGAACAGTTTGATGCGGTAGCCCCTGGCCAGGTTGATGGTCCAGTGACACTTGATGTTGTTCGGGGTAGATGTTAGGGTAGTGGGGGCTGGTGAAGTTAGCACTTGGTGCAGACAGCACCTGCTGGCATTCACCTGTCAGACAGACATATGAGGCAAAACAGGGTTGTCTTAAGTAGGTCACACCGTAGCAAAAATGTAACTAAAGATGTGTTGTTACTGAATAGGTTCAGCTAGTACCTTTACCGTTTCAAAACATTTTCTCCCTACTGAACACAACCCTGGTGTCAGTGAATGTGCAGTGTAATCTCCCCATGGACCTCAGTATAGTACAGGACAGTTTAATCTCACCCCATGGACCTCAGGGTAGTACAGGACAGTTTAATCTCTCCCCATGGACCTCAGTATAGTACAGGACAGTTTAATCTCACCCCATGGACCTCAGGATAGTACAGGACAGTTTAATCTCACACCATGGACCTCAGGATAGTACAGGACAGTTTAATCTCACCCCATGGACCTCAGGATAGTACAGGACAGTTTAATCTCACCCCATGGACCTCAGGATAGTACAGGACAGTTTAATCTCACCCCATGGACCTCAGTATAGTACAGGACAGTTTAATCTCACCCCATGGACCTCAGGTATAGTACAGGACAGTTTAATCTCACCCCATGGACCTCAGGATAGTACAGGACAGTTTAATCTCACCCCATGGACCTCAGGATAGTACAGGACAGTTTAATCTCACCCCATGGACCTCAGAATAGTACAGGACAGTTTAATCTCACCCCATGGACCTCAGCATAGTACAGGACAGTTTAATCTCTCCCCATGGACCTCAGGATAGTACAGGACAGTTTAATCTCACCCCATGGACCTCAGGATAGTACAGGACAGTTTAATCTCACCCCATGGACCTCAGGATAGTACAGGACAGTTTAATCTCTCCCCATGGACCTCAGGATAGTACAGGACAGTTTAATCTCTCCCCATGGACCTCAGGATAGTACAGGACAGCCATGAGGGAGTGACCTAGTGGTCAGTACACCCGTAGTATATGTCCTCCACCGTCCTACCTACCTGAGTAGTAGTAAGCCTTGAACCCTCGTCCCCCGATGTTGAAGTCAGACTTGAACACCACCAGGAGCTGGTTGGAGGTAGTAACAATCTTAGGAGGCTTCTCCCCTCCACAGTAGTTCCCCAGGTGTCTGTGAGTGACGGTCGGGCCGTCGAAGAGAGCCACGAAGTCAAAATTACAGCCCTCGTTGTTCTCAAGCTGGAATGAATTATATTTTATTTTGTCACGTCATATTTATGACCCATCAGGGATACTAAGACACTTACAGGATGTGTGTCCCAGTTGGCTCCATCAGGGATACTTAGAGACTTACAGTATGTGTGTCCAAGTTGGCTCCATCAGGGATACTTAGAGACTTACAGTATGTGTGTCCCAGTTGGCTCCATCAGGGATACTTAGAGACTTACAGTATGTGCGTCCCAGTTGGCTCCATCGGGGATACTTAGAGACTTACAGTATGTGTGTCCCAGTTGTCTCCTTATTCCCTATATAGTGCCCGGGCTCTGGTCAAAAGTAGGGAACTAATATAGATAAATGGGGTACCATTTGGGATGCATCGATTTCTCTTCACATGTTAGAGAACATACCTGGAAGTCAAGGAAGACCAGACTGACCACGCTGCGGTTGGACACATGGACCGTCCAGGAACAGTCGGCGTTGTTGCTGTACTGGGTATCTGGACTGTAGCCTGGGCTAGAGATGATGCCAGACAGACCGGTAAGGACCCCACCACACACATCTAGGGGAGAGGGGTGAAAGAGAGGAATAAGACACGGGTGGGTGACAAGGTTTTGCAGGATTTTGTTCCAGCCGAGCTCTTAAGTTAACACACCTGATCCAATTACTCAAGGTCTTGTTCCTTGTTGTTGTGGGTTACTGTGAGGTTTGAGTGGCTGTATTCAGCAGAGGCATACGTTTATATTTAATGGCTTTGGTTATCCTGTGAGAGGAAGTGAAAGCTCACCTTTCCTGTAGCCCACAGAGAACCCTCTGTGAGCCACATGACGATCGGAGTGGAAAATGATCGACATAACATTCCAGGAGGAGGTGAACCGAGGAGGGGACACGTCACCACAGAACGTCCCCAGTAGGTTCCCCTCATCCTCGGACACACCGTTATAGATCTTGACGTAGTCGTAGGAGCAGGCGGCGTGATACTCCAACTCAAAGTGGCGGAAGGTGAGCAGGACAGAGGACCCCTCGGCCACTACAATCAGCCACACACACTGGATGTTGTACGGGTACAGACCTGGGTAGTTTGGGCTGGAGATGTTGCCGGAAGAGGCGGAGAGGATCCCGCCACATTTCACCCCTTGGGAATAGAAGTTGGAGGAATAGAAGTTATAGTTTATAAAGGATTCACAAACGGTTTTGTAAAAGGTTTGTAAGTAGTTTACTGGTAAGTATTAGTTTATAATATACACATCGGTAATAACAGTTACTTACAACACACATATAAGTGAGTGTTGTGTAACTGAATTTGCTGAGGCAAATATGATAGAAATATACAATGCAAAAAGCTCACCTTTCTTAGTGACAGCCTTGCCAACAACCAACAGTAAATAAAGGAGTATATCCATCCTTAAAGTCATGTTGTTATCGTTGTTGTCAGATTTCCAATAGGATTACAAAGCAATGGCAACACAAATAGAAAAACAAGAGCAAAGTCCTGTCACCACAGCTCTGGGTCGATGGCAGAGGTGGTAGTAAGTGTAATAGGACCTTAAACGAGGAACCCGATAGGTTGGGCCACCCCCCCTGGCCTTGCCTCCTACTCTACATGTTAATGACCGATATCGAGTGAGCAAGCGGCGAGGGTGGCTTGTCAGGACACTGTATGGAAAGATGGATAAATTAGTAATGATGGTGTCACACACTCACACTGGACACCATGCAGCTGCTATGGAGTTTAGAAAGGAGACATTAGGGAAGAGCGACAGTATCAGGATGGAGGAACCTTCATCCCTTGATCACAAAACCAAATGGGCTCATTTTGGAGAGGGAGAGAGCTGGGGGTTCACTGAGAGAGAGAGAGAGAGAGAGATGGGGGTTCACTGAGGGAGAGATGGGTGTTCACTGAGGGAGGGAGAGCGAGAGAGATGGGTGTTCACTGAGGGAGGGAGAGCGAGAGAGATGGGTGTTCACTGAGGGAGGGAGAGCGAGAGAGATGGGTGTTCACTGAGGGAGGGAGAGCGAGAGAGATGGGGGTTCACTGAGGGAGGGAGAGCGAGAGAGATGGGGGTTCACTGAGGGAGGGAGAGCGAGAGAGATGGGGGTTCACTGAGGGAGGGAGAGCGAGAGAGATGGGGGTTCACTGAGGGAGGGAGAGCGAGAGAGATGGGTGTTCACTGAGGGAGGGAGAGCGAGAGAGATGGGGGTTCACTGAGGGAGGGAGAGCGAGAGAGATGGGGGTTCACTGAGGGAGGGAGAGCGAGAGAGATGGGTGTTCACTGAGGGAGGGAGAGCGAGAGAGATGGGTGTTCACTGAGGGAGGGAGAGCGAGAGAGATGGGGGTTCACTGAGGGAGGGAGAGCGTCCCAGATCTTGTTGGAGCGCTGATGAAGTTCATTGACTATCTGGACACTGGGCACACATTCACTTGGATTATGTAGCCTTAAACAGGGCTGGCCCCTCTCCTGGAGAGCGCTACTGTGTGTGCAGGCTTTTGTTCTAACCCTACTGTTGAGCAGGTCCTCATGATAGAGAGCGAGAGAGGGAGATCTAGGCCTGCTTGTGGTCAGTGTGAGTTTAAAAATACAAAGAGACTGCACACAGTGCTTCAGTATCAGTCTGACTCATCTGTCTTCTGTTGCTTCAATGGCCGATTCAATACATCCGATTAATGGGTGTTCACTTGACTAAATTGCTGTGGTTTGTGACCTATGCTAGAGTGAAGTGAATAAAAGCATGTGTTGCCGCAGTTCCACAAACGATCTACTAGATGGCGATGTTGCTCTGCATTGAGAATCACCATGAAAGTCCACTCTGGAAATGTAAGGAGTCAAGCTGTTTGATGATTGGTTTGTGTCTGAGCCCTGAACTGAACTGAAATAAATAAGAACGAGATTAAAATCGCTCGTGTTTTCCTCAGTCACAACCGTTCCTGGAACCAAAATATATACAAGCCTCCGGTTTCCAAGAAAGTTGGATTACGATTTTGCAGACAGATTCAGAACATAATTTGCATAATTTTCTGAAAGTGGAAGGCTTTGTATATTACAACCGGGGAAATGTGTTTCAGTGAGATATGTTGTTTAGAGCAATGAAATAACTCTATGACCGATAAACACCTTTCAATTAACAGCAAATCAGCCAAGTTTACAGTGGAAAGGTCCTTGTGGATAATAATAATAAGCCATTTAGCAGACACTTTTATCCAAAGTGACTTACAGTCACGTGTGCATACATGTTTACGTATGGGTGGTCCCGGGGATCGAACCCACTACCCTGGCGTTACAAGCGCCGTGCTCTACCAATTGAGCTACAGAGGACCTGGATACCTCAGGCTGATAACCTATTGGATTCTCCATTTTCTGAGAGGATGTTTAGAACACTTAAAAGCTGTTATGAACTCAGAAATATTAAAAGCACTAAAATGGATTTAGGATATTTTTCTATTCTGTTGTTGACTTATATAGTCTATAGATCATACTCTTGGAGAAAATGGTAGCGCGCGCCTCACAAAATTCCACGGTTTTGTTCTATCCCAACAGTAAAAATACATGATTCAAGCGTTTCATAAGCTGAACAGTTGAATCAGATGACTAGTGCTGGAGTAGAAAAAAAAGTGCAACCTTGCGGGGGGCCCCGAGGATTGGAGTTGTGAAACCATACTTGTGTCGCCTAGACGTGTTATATCTCATTCAAAATGTCCATTCAGATGTTGTGTGCTTCTCTGCTAGCATCTGAATGCTGCTACCACTTCTCTATGTATTGCCATTATTTAACCAGTTAAGTCATTGAGGTTGTTCTCTTTGACAATAACAACCCTCGAAAATCTCTTTGAGCTGCATGTTTATTCTCCATCTGAAGGCTGCTCCACGGCCTTGTGTATTACCTCTGAAGGCTGCTCCACGGCCTTGTGTATTACCTCTGAAGGCTGCTCCACGGCCTTGTGTATTACCTCTGAAGGCTGCTCCACGGCCTTGTGTATTACCTCTGAAGGCTGCTCCACGGCCTTGTGTATTACCGTTAATTAACCAAGTAGGTTGATCTCTTCAACCCTATCCCCTGAAACTCTCAGGCTGCACGTTCATTCAGACATTGTACTAAAGACTGGACCGTCACCTTGTGTTCCCAACAAGAAGATCACTTACAGTCAGTCTCTTTCTCAGTGGTATAAAGTACTTATGTAAAAATACTTTCAAGTACTACTTAAGTCGTTTTTTTTGGGGGTATCTGTACTTTACTTTTTTACTATTTATATATGTGATTACATTGACGTTTACTCCACTACATTCCTAAAAAATATATGTACTTTTTACTCCCATACATTTTCCCTGACACCAAAAAGTACTTGCTACATTTCGAATGCTCAGGCAGGACAGAATAATGGTCAAATTCACTCACATATCAATATAACGCGTTGTCATCCCTACTGCCTCTGATCGGGCGGACTTACTAAGCACAAATACTGTGTTTGTAAATTATGTATGAGTGTTGGAGTGTGCCCTTTGCTGTCCATAATAAAAACAAAAAAAGGACACTTTATTTATCATTTACTTCAACTTTTACTAAAGTATGACAATTGAGTACTTTTCCCACCACTGCTCTTTCTTTACTCCTGTTATTAAAGGTGGGTCTATAACGGTTCTCTCTCTCTCCCTCAAGGACTACCGTGAATAAACATCCGCCATTTGAGATCGTCCTTATACAACTGTTCATTGCGTAGAGGACATGAGTTATCATCATGGCCAATAGCTACACAATGAAATCCTCCCTCCACTGACACCGAAAGCAATAACGGGAAGATGTGTAGGCTGAGGGACGTTAGAGAGAGAGGAATGCATTAAACTGTGTGGGCTGAGTGATGAAGGATAAAGAGCCTCTGTGACCCTCTTGACCTTGCAGGATGTGGTTCTCTATAGGTGGCCATTTTGTTTTTTGCTAGTTGCTACTGTAGCGGCTTGTTTGGTGTTCTGCATTACAATGAGGAGTCTTACTTTCTGAAGATCACACAGCGGCTTAGTGGAAAGACATAATAACAAAGATGAGAAGGAAACTGATACAGCACAAATGGATGCGGGGGAATGAGAGAGATGGCAATTATCTTTTGAACACAGACATTAGCCTAGCGTAGGAAGTCCCATAAAAAATAAATGCAGCATGTTTTCTTCCCCCCACACACTGTCAGTCTAAGAAGAAGCTATTGGTGCCACGCAGTGCAATAATCTTAGCTATTCTTTCAGGTGAAATGTCACTGAAAAACAACCCCTGTCTCTGTCTGTTTGTCTATCTATTTAAAGGGAAATTCCACCCCAAACGTATCTTTTGGATAGTTTTTGGAGTAATGAAACGAATACCAAAAGATTGTTTTTGGGTGGTGTTTTCCTTTAAGCATTGGCAGCACTGATGTAATGAATGATTCAGCGAGCGATGTGACGTGGCAGGCTGCAGTGTAAATAGTCTAGAACACATGACAGGAGGGGTGACAGAGGAGATGTAGAGGCACCGACACAGACAGATAGAAATCACAGTACTATTATAGCCCCCGGAAAAGACACTTAATTAAGCTGTTTTACCACTCTCTGTCGATGTGTGTGTGTGTTTGTGTGTGTGTGTGTGTGTGTGTGTGTGTATGTGATGGTTAGCCTGGTTGTTTGGTACTTTCTGTGTCCATGCATACAAAGACCTTTTGAAATGTTTGAGTCCTTCTTGAATGTGATTTGTGGATTCAAATTAAGTATTTATATATATGTGTGCCCGTGCCCGTGTGTGTGTGTGTGTGTGTGTGTCAAGACTCTTCTTTAAGCTGTGCTACTAGCCTTTACCATCTAACCACTAGCGGCCAAGTCATAATGATGGACCCACCTAATCAGCAGATTGCTCCGGCTATGATCTCACATGAATATTCACACAACTAATAAAAAAAAAAAAACAGAATAGAAAGATGAAAATAAAAGCTTTGGTGATTATGATAATATTCACCCTGATGAGTCAATCCACTCAAGATGGTTGCATCTGAAATGCTACCCTAGACCCTATATAGTGCACTACTTCTGAACAGAGCCCATAGGGGTCAGGTAAAAAGTAGTGAACTAGGCAAGTCAGTTAAGAACAAATTCTTATTTACAATGACGGCCTACACCGGCCAAACCCGGACGACGCTGGGCCAGTTGTGCGCCGCCCCTATGGGACTCCCAATCACGGCCGGTTGTGATACAGCCTGGAATCGAACCAGGGGGTCTGTAGTGACGCCTGCAAGCACTGAAACGCAGTGCCTTAGACCGCTGCGCCACTCGGGAGCACATATATACATAGAGGATAGGGTGCCATTTCAGACGTAGTATATGAACAAACAAAACAAATATAAAAAAACGAAACCTGCTGTCAGATAATTGATCTGAATGACCTCCATCGG